CTCTTCCATATTATTTGCCACTATGCTGCTGGTTTAAGAACTCTAAGCTTAAGAACTTCTATAGCTGTTTTGCCTCTGGAACTCATTTCCCCTTTTTCTGGAAACGGCAACAGAGAAAACCATGCTGCCCCACCTCTGAAGTGAGCACGTGACCCAGCCTGGCGAATCAGAACATTATTTCCCCCTGGCTACAGGGATTGGCCATCCAGAAAGATCTGGCCAGGGAGCTCCAACCTGGGGCCCTAACAGGAACTATTGGGAAAGTGGCACTACCTACTAGAGCTGGTGGGGCCACCTTGCCACCACAAGGGAAAGCTCGACCAAGAATAAATCACAAGAAGAAAAAAGCAAGGGCAGTAAGTCAAGAAAAATTTCTTTATGATGCTGTTTCAACATTTGTATCCTGAAGTTTCTGAGTTGATTCTTTAGGAAGGAAATTCACTTTTTAGCTTAAGCCAAAAGGTTTCTGTCACTCACAGTCACAGGAGTCCTAAAGAATAAATTCAGTGGCCAGTGTAATGGTGGTCCCTGGAGGACTGTTTCCTCAAGATCAGTGCCATTCATTTCTGTTCTCTACTCACCCAACTCCTTCTGCCATTTGTCACATGCTATGCATTCAACAGACAATAATGGTACCATTGACTTAAAAAGCCATTAATATTTCAGACCGAAGATAGATTATGAAATTTGTTTGAGCTCCCAAACATGTCAGAAAATGACTTACCCAAAGAGAATGGTAACTCCTCCTGAGACAAACATTCCTGCTACAAACATAAATTTTGCTCCAATATGTACAATCTATAATAAATGTCAAAGAAGAGTGGTAAATTGATGACATCTACAAGTCTATATTGACATAAACAAATCTACTATATTGGAAAATATAGGATTGGGGGAAGACATGTACAGTTAATATAGTAACTCTTTAATGGAGTGCCAATACACATTGCTTAGAAACATGGAAGGAGTCAAAAATCAATCAACCCTAAGGAGGGAACTGTCAATAGTGGCACAATTTATAAAACCATAACAGTGGTTATTTCTGTATCCATGCAAATTATAGACTTGTAAATCAGAATAACTCATTACACAATTTTTAAAAATTAAAACATGCACCTGAACTTTAGTACTTACATAGTTTCCAAATACCAAAGATGCCAGCAACTCAAACAAAGCATAACATCCAAAAATCATACCGATAATGGTATTGCTGGCTCCCTTCTTTTCAGCCTTTAAAGAAATAGAAATGGGAACAAAGTTTGAAAGACAAATTAGCATCCGTATGGAAAAATGGAATATTAGATCAGAACATCATCTTTTTGTGACCTTTATCTATAGCAATTTCAAAGAATATTATTTTAAAATAAACAGGATGGGGAAGGAAGAGTAACTAGTTAAGACAGTAAAACCTAGTCCCTGACATGAAATTCATTCACCTTGACTATAAAGTATTAATAGCTTTAGCTGGCAAAAGTCAGAATTAGATAATATAAACAAACACAAAAAAAACCTTGGATGTGGAAATTTGGGCTCCATTTCAGTCACAGGACTGAGAAAACAGCTGATTTAGACACAACTTCCTTTTTGGTATCACATTTTAGTAATAGGAAACAAACAAAAAATGTTTGCCAGTCAAAAAAACTTAAGAATAGGAAGTCCCGTGAGGTGGCATATGGGTCACACCAAGGCCCATTC